AATTGAAGAAATCCCTTGTGAGGAAAAATGGATTAAGAATTTATCTAATCGTGACTTATCAGAAGCAGAGAAAACAGTGCTTGCCAAAGGCCTGAACTTTTCAGTTACACCTAACAACATACCAAAAACAGACTACATCACAGCGGTAGAAACAGCGATCAAAAATAACAAGTTATCAAAAGCAGAAGCAGATGATATTCGCCTTAGTGTAGCCTCCTCGCTAAAAACAGCAAAACCGCCACCCTCAAACATATCAGTAGAAGAACGAAAAGCCTTAGCAGAACTCCAAAAAGAAGATAGCAACACAATATTACCAGCAGACAAAGGCAGATGCACGGTTATACTAAACACTGCAGATTACGATGCCAAGATCTCAAACTTGCTCAGCGACACGAAAACCTACAAAAGACTAAAAAAATTTTCACCCTCTCTGAACCGTGAAGGAGGTATCAGATTTAACCTGTCTCCTATTTACAATAACTTGTTGACCAGTAAGGGACATAGACATGCTGATCAGGCTAACTGAAAGTAGCTATTCAGCCTTAGCCCAAACAATAGGCCTAATCAAGACCCAATGATAGGGAATTTAGAAACCAATGGCCCTCTTCACCATAGGGGCGTGACTAACCAACCATCCCCACCCAGTCCTCAAACAGGCCACGCTCAGCTTTTTAGCGCAGAGCAACTTCCCGGAGTCTTCACGGAGACTTCAGGGTTGTCTACCGCTGACGAAGCTTCTGTGAGAGAAGCGAAACGTCCTTTTTTGTTTTTACCCACAGGTACAGATGACGACTGACAGAACCCTTTCTACGATGGAACTTTCCTGCACGACTGAGAGCCTCCACAAGCATTAGAGGGAAATATAGTTAAAAGTGAAATGAAACGGTTAATGACTAGAAATGAATGCCAGAAGCTCTCACCCAAATTGTCCAGGTCCTTGCGGGTGACAAACTTGTAGTCGTCATACACAGTGCTCTCTGGGCTCTCCTCCAGCTCTTCTGTCAGGTTGTCAAGGAAGGAGCACCAACGAGGTGCTGGGCCCAGAGCCTGAACTCATACAAATACAGATCAGGTCAAATAAGTAATTGATACAGTATACCTAACAATATAAATTACAAAATAAAATATCTTTGAATTTAAAAAATGGCATTTGGCAGGATTAAATATCATCTAACTCATCAACTTATAAAATAGAGATGACGTTCTTGGATACAGACTTGTTCTGTAAACCAACACGGATACACTAGCTGAAATACTGAGAGTCCTAACATATTTCTTTTTTCAAACAGAACAGTGACAGCGTTATACCACTACACTACCAGCGCATCTCAAGTACCACTACTGTACTACTAATATAACCATGTAATATGCAATGTTCCAAATGTGTGAGCAGTGTTCTGAGCGCACGCAACACACACACGCACACACACACACTATACAACGATAAACAGTTGTATTCACTGTCCTTGGCTGTTGTCTTTTTATGTAATTGCAGAAGATGAGAGTAATAACCTGGCAGAAACAGTAAATATCCATCCATCCATCCTTTTTCTAATCCGCTTATCCTCAGAAGGGTCGCGGGCATGCTGGAGCCAATCTCAGCTTTCTGCGGGGTATAACCTGACCTGGTTGCCAGCCAGTGGCACAGCAGACAAAGACAATCAACCATTCATGCTCACAATCACACCCAGGGACAATTTAGCGTGTCCCATTAACCTGCATGTTTTTGGAATGTGGGAGGAAACCGGAGTACCTGGAGAAGGCCCACACAGGCATGGGGAGAACATGCAAACTCCACACAGGAAGGCCAGAGCTGGAATCGAACCCACAACCTCTGCACTGTGAGGCGGACATATTAACCAGTCGATCACTGTGCCCTCCCCCACAGTACATATTACCATTTTAAAATCACTTCAATGAGTTTCGCTTCTTTTTCCTTCATTATAACTCCAGATTCATTCAGTAAAGTATGGGTCTATGACAACTTAAGAAAATTATGTTAGAGCCATTAATCTCTTTGTCTAAAATGAAGATGTATGTATATAATTAGAGCTGGGCAATCACAAATATTACTAATTTGGGAAAGCTGCGGCTTTAGGAGCCGCTTTGGGACCCGGTTGGCAGTCGCTCAACAACAACAACAGCAACAAAAAACCCGAAATTATCAACAGCAGACCAAAAAAATTATGACGGGTATTCCAACTTCAAAATTTGCATTTTGTGCCTCATCAAAGCAGAATGAATGGCAAAATTAAGAATTACTGATATTTGTGTTTTTCTGATAATGGAACGGCGCAGTATTATTTATAGAATAAATGAAGATATAAACATCGTAGTACTGTAAATGATTATTGGATGTAAAATCTAAAATGGCCGATAACGTGATGGAAGCTTTTTTTTTTCCCCACCCAGCTTTATATACTGTATAATATGAACATACTGTGTCTAAGTTCAAGATTTCAAACGAGTATGCGAGATCATGTTGGATTTGATTACTTCATCTTATTAACCCCTAGTCAATATTTGGCTACAAAACCAAACAAATGGGTCATGAGTCATGACATTTTACTGAGTTGGAATGGACAGATGTGAGTCATCAAAACCCAGAGCACAAAGTCCACAAAAACCCACCCCTTTCAATTTCCCGCTCATTCTTTGGAGTCTTCTCTCGTAAGCCCTCACGTTACAATCACTTGAGTCGCGGACTTTGAGCAAGTTTTTGCATGGGAGTAAGAAATTTAGTGAACATTCTTTATTGCATCAATAATACACGTGAGGGTATCCATTCAGTTAAATTATGAGATGTGATATCAAGGTCAATGTTAGTGTCAGTCTAATATGATGGAAGTTTTTTTTTTCATCCATCTTTATCTGCTGTGTAATATGAATTTACTGTATCTAAATTCTATATCCGCAACCAGTGTGAGACATCATGTTGGCTTTGATTGCTTCACCTTATTAACCCCTGCTCAATATTTGGCTACAAAACGAAAAAAATGTGTCATGAGTCATTGCATTTCACTGAGTTGGAATGGACAGATGTATATCATATAATCCCGAGACACACAGTCCACCAAAATCCGCCCTTTTCAATCTCCCACTCATTCTCTGGGGCCTTCTTTCACGAGCCCTCATTTTTACAGCCATTTGAGTCATCGACTTCGAGCAAGTTTGTGCAAGGCAGTAATCAAGTCAGGTAACATTCTTTATTGCAGGAATGTCAAACATACAGCCCGCGGGACACAACCGGCCCGCAAGGAGGTTCGATTAGGTCCGCATGATAATTTAAAAGTGAAAAAATTCATAAGAGACACGGAATTGCTACTTTTAATAAGGTGCAATTCATGGAGTATCCGCTAGATCTGTTTATTAAATTTAAACATTTTCCTAATGTTCTTGTGCTTCTTTAGACCAAAACAAAGGAAAGACATTAATTTGGTTATTTATAGCAGAATATGGTATAATTTTAATGGTCCGGCCCACTTTACATCTACCGAGGCTATATGTGGCCCACAATGTGAAATGAGTTTGACAACCCTGCTTTATTGCATCAATAATACATGTGAGGGTATCAGTTCAGTTATGAGATGTGATGTCAAGGCCACTGTTAGGATCAGTCTGTGTGTGGGTTTGTGTTTGCTGCCAGTGAGGTGTTGAAAAAAAAACTCACTGGAATGTAGAATGTGTTCATCTTCGGATCCTCATTGCCAGTGAACAGCATACCTATAAACACAAACACACATACAGGCAGGATGATGTGAGAAGCTTGAGCGTAAACAATGTAGTTGCAGGTTTGAAAATTGCAGTGTGTGTACATAAGATATGATGCTGCAAATATTCTGAGACAGGACAGTGTGTTAAACTCTTTTGGGGAATGTTTTCAAAATTACAAAGGACAGACACATCTGACAAGGTCTCTAACGAATGTGTTTTTCACCATCACAAAATGCTTGAAACTACAAGAGTAGATGGCACCTCCTAGTGGTGAAAGAGCATTGCGCGCACACACGTTTGACGATGTCCCAGTGGTATACAGTACATGAAGTTTTTTTATGACCTCCCCCCCTTTGTTTCGTAAATACATATTTTGTGGAGAACACACAAAAAAAAAATATTGACAATAAATAAATAAAACAGCCTGTGAGAAAAAGTCCCAATCAAAATATGTGGTTGTTTCAAGGAATACAGTGAAGCGCAAATAATTAAATTGAATATAACAGCGCCTCAAGGAGCTTTTAGGAATGCCTAGCATTTAACCAGAATTTTGGCAACACAAGTTTCTCACTGTTTAATTCAACTTGTGGTGTCTAAGTCTGAACACTGGGTGGGACCTACAGTATGTACTGCCACACACCTTACTTAGAAGAAGAAATCTGAGGTTGTGTCATTGCACTCACCTGAGCGGCACATAACTTCACAAGAAACAAAAAAATGCGTGACTGATTGTTGAATTTCAACACTGACCAAACCATAATATAGACAGCCCCCCCCCCCCACTCCTGATTTAAAACTATTTGTGGTGATCGAACATTTGCACCGATGGGAAGCGACATTCTAATGCTAAAGTGAGCCACTATGATGTCAATGATCGGCAACCTTTTAACTTGTTACATAAGAACAACAGACTTCAACTGCCTTAATATGATGTCTCTAGCAGCATCGCAGCTCAGCGGGGCAATGTACCCTCAAAGGCAAAGCATGCGCCTTGAAATTCAGTCAGAACTATTTTTTCTTCGGCACAGCAGCATATCTACCACATTTCATGTTTACATCTATGAAAATGACAGTAAAGCCACTCGGTTCCCAGAATGCATTGCGGTCGGTGGCTCAAACTTCGGATACTTTCATTTGACATCAGGCAAATTGAAGAGGTGTCACTTGACACAGAATGACCCAAATGTTAATAAACTTCAGAAATTGCCACTGATTAGTGATATGTCAGACATGTATGCCTTACGTTCCTGATTGTAAAACGGCCACAGGAGGGGGGCTGATACAATACCAGTGACTTGAAATAAGGCCGGGTTTCGCCCACTACCGATACCTGTTCTCGATACTTGCCCATCCCTAGTTGATAGTATACACAAATTCATTTGTTGTTTTTAACTCAGTGCAGCTGTTTTTTTTTTTTTTGGGGGGGGGGGATACATGCCTTTCCTTGCAGTCATGAATTACACATTATCTTGTGGAGTATTCTCACCTGAGTGAGGGTACATGCAAACATCATTAATGTTGCTCTCAGGCTGGATGGAGGAGAACACTTTTCCCTGTGGTGAGTAGAAGAAAAACAATTATGTACATCTTTGTTGCATTGGCTACCATGAGTGACACGATGCAGGATATAATATTGCAGGATCACTCCTATGACGAGCAAGCCAACTGACCGATATGAACATCTACTGAGTGTACATTCTACTCATATATGTTATAGTCTTACACTGTCTTTGTTCCAGATTTTTATTATTTTAGGGTCTGCTGACACAACCAGGTCCATCTGATCATGGAAGTTGAGAGATTTGATGGGCAGGTTGTAGAAGTGGTCTTTCACCATCAGCGGCTGGCTGGAGCGCAGGTCATACAGCAGCACCTTTGGTAAGGAGGAGGCAATTATTACAACTTTCGATTCCATCAAAACAGCCCTGGAGTGTGTGTGAGGTGCACAGGAGGGATGAAGATACAGCTCTTTAAAAACATCATATCATTCATCATCTTTTTTTTTTTTTTTTTTTTTTTACACCATAAGGACTCTTCAGTGACTATAACATTAGCCATTCAAAGATGTTGCATACCTGTCCAGTGCTGGTGCCTACTCCCATGACGAGTGAACCGTTAAACTTCAGTGCGCTTATTGAGGGCAAACTCTGAACTCTGCAAAACAAAATGAAATGATCCAAGTCACAAAATGGTCACATCTAATTCGATCAACGACAAAATAAGCTCCGTAAGTAAAAACTGCATTTCTGAGCAACAGACAGCTACTTACTCCATTCCTTCTGTTAGGCTGCTCAGCACACAATCCAGAAGGCCCACTCGCTTCCGGACACGAGGGTCCCAGCATTCCACTTTTCCCTAATGACCAAAAAGGGATATAGGTCAGTGATATGTAGGATACTGCTCGCTAGAATACTCGGAAACATTGATTGTTATATTTCTTTTTTGTTGTTGTTGCACTTTTTCATTTCTATCATTTTATATGGGCATGGAATAAAAGTCTTTTAAGTACAAATATTTACCATGTATTCACTACTTTGATAGATACTATATTATGTGTGTTCCAATTTAAACAAAACATGGGTTCATGTTGGTTTAATAGGCAAGCAAACTGTCTTAAACCGAGGGCCCATCTATGTCATTCCACATTTTTCTTTCAGTGATGTCAACAGTTTGGCCTGGTAGAGGTCTGCGCTTTATGAAGTGAGGTTCTACTGACATTTAAAAAAAAAAAATCTATATGAAGGAAGTCCAACAGTTGCCTCTAATTTTTGCACACTAGTGTACTGTATATATAGATAAATGAATTGCAGTAGGTACTCTTGAAAAGATGAGTGAGTTAAAGTGACAACATGAAAGGTGTTTTTTGCAATTACAACATAACTAATTAGAAATATTCAAACACAAACAATATAGAGGCATTCTAATTTTATTTTTTATTCTTTTTTTTTTTTGAGGGGGGGTGTATTTCTATATGTTGTTCTAAGAAATATTTAAATCTCAACTTCAGTTGTGTCGATGTCAGATCAAATACACTGTAGCCTTGTTTAACCGAGAATGCCTGTTTACAGTCATTTATCACCGTATGTTGTGGGCACAGTAGGTTGCCAGAGCAAATGCTAAGCTGTTCGACAGAGGGAGAGATTTAAGGGCATGTGTGAGGTCGGTTGTGGCATCCCTGAACTGTTTAAAATATAGGACACACAACTCTAAGGACAAAAGGTATTCAACTCTATTACCAAAAACGGATTTGCTGATGGCTCTGTGTTTTTGTCATATGGCAGGCAGTTATAATACATTTTTGAACTTTGTATTGGTCCATGTCTGAATAAAGCTACAGCTAACATTTTCTAGTTTTTGTGTCGTTAAAGTAATTAGTTTCAATCAAGATATGATTAGGTAAAATGTAATTTCATCAGTGTTGTGTCCAAGGACCGGCAACCCGAGGCCAAGGCCAAGGCCAAGGACTTGCCTCCGAGGCCAAGGCCAAGGCCAAGGACTTGGAAAATTTTCCGAGGCAAGGCCAAGGCCAAGGACTTGAAAAATTTTCCGAGGCCAAGGACCAAGGACTTGCTTCCGAGGCCAAGGCCAAGGACCAAGGACTGATTTTGAAACTGAGGCCTAGCCAAGGACATGTATAAAACAATGCTATCATACCACTTGGCAGGTCCTCATGATT